TTTTTGGGGGGCCAGAGGTCACGCTATTCGTTTCAGCACAATCACGCCCACCCCCTTTATTCCATCCCCACTCAAACACACATGCCGGCACATTTTAAATAATTCAACGGCGCGCGCCAGTCGCGTTGCACGTCAGCCTCCCGCTTGGATCGCACATCGCGAACATGTATACTCCGTACAGTGTCCCGAAATCACATTATCGTGTCTGTTATCACATGGCGGCGGGTATTTGCCCAGCGGCCGTGGGCTGTGGGCCTCACCCTGCCTGTCAGCGACAGGGGGCAGGGGGCCACGTGACACACACGTGTGTATGCCGTGTGCCGTCGTTTACTCGCAGACCGTGAGCATATTACCAGCGGGCTCATGGAGGTAAACCGCGCCGTACATGTGTTGTTTGCAGACACACACACGCACACACGCACATTAATTCGCCCACACCCTCTCCCTCCCCCCTTTCCCCCTCACACACTACCAGTACCAGCCCACGCTCACAGCCCGCGGCGGAATCCGGGACCCCCTGGGAGGCAAATCGAACATTGCTGGAGCAGGGAGCTGGAGCAGGCTGGAGCAGGCTGCGGCAGCCGGCTGGAGCCAGTTTGGCAGCTCGGGCGCGACCTAGGGTGTGGTCCACCCCACCCCAAGGGAGCACAGACCTCACCCCCTTTTTGGGTGATGAGGGGTGTCACTTTGCACATAGTGATAATCGTTGGCATCGTAATGCAAAATGGAGGCATCTACTTTTAAAAGAAACTGCTGTTTTACATATTTTTTTTACGAGTTTGCTCCGCTTTATTATTAAAGGAATATATCAGAAGGGGAAAGTGCGAGAGAGTGAGGGGGCAGGGCGAGGGAAAGTAGGGTGCAGCTAAGCAGGGGGCTCTGCTACGGGGCGTGTATGGGGGGGCCTAGGGGAGCGACGGGGAGGGGGCTCAGCGCGGAGCGGCTGGCCGGGCGCGAGCGGGAGAGCGAGAGAGATGGGGAGAGCGAGAGGTGAGGGGCCTGTTGGGGTGCAGGAAGGGTCGATAGCCCAGTAGCGAAACCCCCTACCCTTCCATCCTCCACCCTCCTCCTCCCCACCCCTCGAATCCGCTGTTGAGTTCACAGGAGCGCGGAGCGCTGTGCGTCGCTGTGCGTACTGTGTGCTCCAGCCACCTTCGCGCCCCTTCTCTTCTCCCCTCCCCTCTCCTTCTTCCTCTCACCTCCCCTCATTTTGGCGCCGTCGCAGCCCTACCCGGCCCCGCCCTAGGGATCCTCCTCTGCATCTGTTGCTTGAATGCATCCCTTTTGCACTCACAAAAGAAAGGGCGAAAAACAAAACACAGAGTATTAGACGACGGGATTGTTTTGTCATAGAAGTTTGTGGTGTAGTCCGGTCTTTTTGAAATTAAATTTTAATGAAATATAGAAACATACTCATTGCAATGAGCCATGAGTAAAATCATGATTCTGCTGTTTCCAAAACGACAAATTATTGGAAAAATTCAGCACAGTCTAACTCATTCTTGAGTGTGAAAATTCAGGGAACATGACTCAAATAGGTCGACCCGAACAGTCTTCGCTGCGATTCACTGTTAAAGTCTTACGAAGAAAAATGCCAAATCCTTTGTAA